ACACCATCAAGGCTTGGGTTAATTTTAGTTCCCCAAGGAAGCCGAACAGGGCCCTTTGGAAATGTGGGGATGGCATTTTGTACCCGATTGCCCTTATCGCACTAGGTGTTAAAAATGCTCCCATCTCGGTCATAAGGCAACACATTGTCGCACCAAATCTTTCAGTCCAAGAAAAGCTGTAGTGCCATAACCCAGATTGAATCACAGGTCCTCAGTTGCGAAGATTGAAAATATTTGACGGTTAGTCTACATAGAGAATCTATTACGTTGCAGGTTGACACAGCGTCACACCTTACGATGGTTAGTAGAGGCATATGGAAGGCTCTGGGAGCGCCTGAACTGAAGCCAAGGGCCGTCTGTGCCTGGGCATCAACTAATACGCAAATGCTTTTTGAGGGTGTTTTCCCGGCCACTATCGCTTTCGAGGAAAAATCCTGTTTGTCTGACATTTATGTATCGAAGTCTGATACTGATCTCCTTGGAAATAAGAGTATATCCCAACTGGGTCTCTAGAATCGGCCATTCCAGGAGATATGCTGTGCGGTAACCATTACAGAAGAGGACCTTAAGCAGACGTATGCCGAGAGAATGAAGATGTCAGGTGGAACGTGTACAAAGACTACAGTAAGCTTGAGGGTAAAGCCTGGGAAAAAGCCAGTCTTTAGACAGAGTAGACGTGTTCCATTTTGCGTACAAACAGCGGTCGAGGAAGAACTGGAGCGTTTGCAGCAGAAGGGCCTAATCTGTCCCACAAATTATTCACCATGGGCTGCCACCGTAGTCGCCGTTAGGTAGCCTAACGGTAGGATAAGACTGTGCGCAGACTACTCGACTCGGCTGAATGACGCATTAGAAGACTATCACTACGCCTTGCCGATTGTAGGCCACATTTTCGCCATCCTTAATAGAGGGTAAGTTTTCGCGAGGACTGATCTTTCCTAGGCATACCTACACTTACTAGTTGATGAGGAAGCGCAGGAAATGTTGACCATAAACACACATAAGGGTTTGTTCAAATATACCCTCCTCAATTGTGGCGTCAAGACGGCACCTAGTATTTTTCAGCAATTAATGGACACCATGCTTATAAATGTCTCTGGAACTGACGCATATCTGGATGACGTTTTGTTTTTCGGTCGTACGGACGAGGAACTGCTCGAGAGACTTGACAAGGTCATAGAAAATCTTATTGACTATGGCTTAGAAATCAGCATAGAAAAAGGCGAGTTCCTGCGGAAAGAAGTCCATTACTTGAGTCTTGTGTTAAGTGAGGCAGGACGTTCACCCGACCTAGAGAGGGTTGCCGCATTTAAGAATGTGAAACTGTCCCGCAATGTTCAAGAGCTACGAGCATTTATGGGTCTGGTCAGCTACTACTCATCATTCATTGCGGTACTGCATAGTCTAAGGCCATCGAGGATACATCGGTGGCGTGCTATTCTCCTGAGTTATGACTTCACAATC